ATAAATGCATTTACATTATTTCGTTTATGTGGCAATATATAGTAGTATATGGTTATATACTATTTAGATACAATAATATGAAAAGAGTGATATAAAACCAAAAAATGAATACAGTTAAATAACAAATGTTAAGTTGAAAAAACACATTTATTCCTACGGCAAAGGTGTTATCAAAATTCTGATCAATAATGCTTATGTCGCTTTCTATAATTAAAGGTAGAAATAAGACATTTTGGTCCTTTTTCATGAATCACAATCAATGGCAACCCAAGTGTATTTCTGGTTCTGGTCATATGTGCAAATAAGCTTCAATGAAGAATTTCTTAAAATCATACACAAGATATATCCAGCAAAAAAGACATGACAGAGATTTGATATTGAGAACTCGTCCTCTTTGAGGCTTAACTGAAGAATCTATTGAACACTTGATTTTCCACTGTTTACTCAAATGTTGTAGATGGATGTACAGAATGGAAAATTCTTTTTTAAATTTAAAAATTCTAAATTGAAGTTAGTTTTATTTTTTTGGAAATTACACCTTCATAAGAGGAACTGGACTGAGTCTCGACACAGCACTGTCATCAATGATCTAAAACAGTCTACGGCTGTAAAACTTATTTTGGAAAAGTTTATTTAAGTTTATATGACTGATAAATTTTTCTTTATTCAATGTCTTTTTTGTAAATATACACCACATCTTATATACATTTTCTTTTAGTGTCTCTTTTAATATTGGGACCCCTGGTAAATAAAGTGCTAATTAGGGCAGATACAGATTGGTCATGGCACGTTTAGCCCACCAGTTATTCTCCTTTTATATATTTGTTATTTTTCAAGCATTCAAAATTTGTTAGGGTCAATGTCCCACATACTGCGATTCTTGTCTTCTAATATTTTACCTTTTGCTACCTCTTTACTTTTCTTTTCTACTGTATTTGCTACTATTTTTGACAGAAAGTCATTAGCAGTTTCAATCTGAGCTGATGTTGAGTTGATTGCAGATTAATGTACAGTTTGCCCAGTTTTTGATTTTGATCTTGTAATTTAGCAATAAGGAAAAACAAAAAGCAAACATTTAGATTTCTCATCAACGTTTATTAAGTAAACGTATCTGCAGGGAACAGCGAGGGCATCTAAGACAGGAACCTCTGCAGGAAGAAAACACTGATTAGTGACCACATCTATCTGGCGGAGGATGATAATGAACGTGCGAGTCACTAACCTGGTCTTATAGTTCAGTCCGTGGCCAGAGGACGAGGTTGGTTATAGCCGGTTGGCTGCCGATAGGACGCAAGCGGACACTGCCCGGACGTTAAGAACAACCAAGAGATCAGAATCATGCAGAGGAAGGAAGACCAATCCAGTGGGCAAAACCATAGCCGGTGTGAGGGACGTGCTCAGGAATCCGGGCCAGAAGATCACAGATCCAAAGATGTACCGAAGGGAAATCCAGGACGGAGTCAAGAACCAGTTCCTGGTTCGGTAAACAGGAACAATCCAGCATGTCTGAAGACAGGTTAGGGAAACAGATCAGAAAGGGGACAGGTAGGCTTAGTGATCCAGAGTTAGAACAGGTCAGGATCAGGCAATCAGAAACACTCAGGTACTCTAAAGAACTCTCAACAAGGGCTCAGAAAATATGGCACTGATGACTGGGAGCAGGCAGGTTAAATAGAGGCTAGAACAGGTGTATTAGATGAACGGTAATGAGAAACTGGGCGGAGCTAGGCAGGTGAATGAAATGAGTAATCAGGCCAATCATCCGCACCAAGATCATGACACGATTGGCAGCAACCATCGAAAGCTTGACCAGTGTTCACCCTCAGTTTGGTTCTTTTGTTGTTTTCTCATTGTTTTGAATCTTAGAAATGTAACGAGAAGAAGCCATTTATCTGCTGTCTGGCAGGGCCCCATCTTTGCTTTACAAAACGTATTTTTTCTGTCGGTGTATGTTCCTTTTTGTCAACGATGTCATCATAACCAGAAATAAAAAAATTATATTTTTTATAAAAACTAATATTTTCACAAAAATTAATCCTTGTATTCATAAAATTCATACTTTATGATACCAATTTTCTCTAAATATTAGATATATGTTATAGAGAATTTTCTTCCTTTCTTTAGATCCAGATGAATCTTTTTACTAAATTATAATGCTGAATTCCTCACATGCATTTTCTATTGGTTTATTTAGATTATCGCTGCTATGCTTGGTTGATAATGAGTCACAGACTCTGCTATGAGGAGTCAATAGATCTTGTTGCTCTCAGGTTTTCTCCCCTGTATGGCTCACCACTCTGTGCTCGCTCACAGTGGGAGGCCTTCATAGACGTTGCTATCAGGGTTAATGGGACATGATGAGCTCAATGAAAACACACCTGCAGGCAGCCGCAAACATGCAACAACTTTTTATGAATGCAAAAACCCAAAGGCATCAGTGATGAAATAATACCAGAGCACAGAAAGAGCCCATAGCATGAATATGTACAGTTCTCAGCCCCACGGCATATAAAGAAAACACACACTTCCTCCTCTAATGGCAGCGTTTCCATGGTGAATCTGCTGGTGTGACATCTTCTCCCTCCTGTGCGGTGAGGGTTGCCATGGAGATGCTCTGCTCTGGCAGTGTGTGTTTGTGTGTTTATTTATTTATTTTTCTCCTTCTTCTTTGATTTATACTTTATTTGTTTTTTTTTTTGCTTTGTATTTTGTTGCAGCGGTAAAATGTTTCTGTGACACGTAAATATTCTTCAGCTCATGTTTCGGAGGTTTTGGAAACATGAGTATTTTGTGTTTTCGTATACTGACGTCTGTGTGTGTGTGTGTGTGTGTGTGTGTGTGTCCCAGTTGGACCGATTCAAGGAGCCCCCTGCGTTCGGGCCCATGTGCGACCTGCTGTGGTCCGACCCCCTGGAAGACTTTGGCAATGAGAAGACCCAGGAGTATTTTGGCCACAACACAGTTAGAGGCTGCTCCTACTTCTACAGGTACAAAAAGCCACAAGCTTACACCTTTCTCGCAGATATTTAAAAGAAAAGAGAAATTACACAATCCAAACGGAAATAATTTCTGTCAAAACCACTCCTCTTAACTAGAGATGCCCTGATTAAAGTATTAGATCGGATATTTTCTCTGATATTGTCTAATTAGCTGGATCTGCAATTGGATGAATTATGCGGATCCAGCATTTAGATAAATTTTTAGTAATATCATACACAGAAAAAGAATAACAGGCTTTCAGTGTCTTTAACAGCCAGTTTATATCTGAGTTAATTTGAGGCTTTTTTTTAACAATGTTTATGCCATGCATGATGGCTTCACCCTCTTGCTGAGGTATACGGTTGATCCTTTCAGCAGTACTTTCATCAAATCAGAATCGGGTTTCGGGTATCGGCCAATAAACTCAGCCCATGTCTTGGTATCGGACTGGATCAGAACAAAATTGATCTGTGTGTCTCTACTGTCAACGGGGAACGGGAGAAGAAGATGTTTTCTCTGGTTGTATGGAGCATGCAGTAGAGCAGGCATCTACAAAGTCGGTCCTCGAGGGCCGCCTTCCTGCAGGTTTTAGAGGTTTCTCTGCTTTAGCACAGCTGATTCCGATTATTGCAGTTCAGCCAAAGCTTGTAATCAACTATCAATGTAGTCTGTCTAAGTTTCTCTGTCAGCTAAAGGCATGTTTTAGAGTCTCTATACTTCATTTAATGATTAATCGATTACTAAATTAGTTGACGATTATTTCAATAATTAATCCGATTAATTGTTTCAGCCCTACTTCAGTCGATTAAAAGATATTTTCCCGATCATATTACAAAAGCAATTAATTGTCCAGCAATATTTTTTAGTATATTTTTGCTTTCTGGCATTAATTCAACTTTTCATCCCTATATTTCAGTTTAATTTAGTATTTCAACCTCAATTTTCAAAGTATCTGTTGTTGTAACAGGATGCGTGACGTTTTAAGCAGACTGTCTTCACTCTTTTAATGTGAGCAGATGCATAAAAATAGCTAAACAATTCAACTGAGTATCAATGTGTTATTTTATTTTCAAAGAACAGAGATGTAAAGAAAAACAATCAGATCTTTATATGAGTTCTTTTGTTTAAGCGCACTGTGATGTTTATGTTTAAAGTTATTCTCAGCGTACGCACCAACCCCCTGGCTACCTCATACAAACTCAAAGCAATAAAATTAGATTTTACCTACAATCACTGAGAGTTTCTAGTCCATTTGAACAGGAGACAATACAGTGGGTTAGCTTACGGAGCTCAGAGATATAAAACTAACCTGATATTCAAACAAGCCTGGGGAAATGCAATATACAGACATACAAAACTACTCTGCAGGAGCAATATCATTATGGCAACCAGCAGAAACAGAGATGGATGAGTTTCACCGGCCTTACTCGCTGCGTTTCAATTATCTGGGCGCCTGGCGCAGGTGAGATGTGCTGCTCAACTATAAATCAGGAATCTAATAAGTTTCAGGTAGACTTTGGGCTGTTATTTTGGGATTGTTGCTGATGTGACTCGGAAAGACAGATCCATCAGGCAGAGCCCCGTCACATCCGACACCCACTTAATAATGGTGGGGATTTGTAGCGGAGGCCGGCTCTCGCAAACACGCAAACACAACGGGCTCACCAGCACACGCACACGGCTCAGCTTCAGCATGAAAAGATTTCCCACAATCCCTGGGGAAAGAACTGCACGGTTCTGTTGCTATGACGACTGGCTACTCCTGCCAGATATGGAGTGATATTAGGAGGAGGGGGGCACTGATGGCGGCGTGAAGGGGGAGAGGACGGAGATGAGTGTGGAAAAAGAGGAGCAGCAAGGGAGATGAATGTTTAGGAGACGCAGCATCAGTGGAGCAAACACTGTGCATTCACAGCACTGAGGCGGCCATGAGCCTTCCTATGACATGTTGCCCTCACAGCTGCCCCCTACTGATCTAATTCAGACTCAGCATCAGAAAACCACAGGCCTGTTCTTCACTGGTAGACAGGAAATGTTTCAGTCTGCTTTCAGTGGTAAAGCAGCCTTTAAAAACTGTTTATGATGCTTTTAGGATCTTTCTCAGACAATAATATAATCTTTTACCTCCTTTGATCTCCTGTGCCAGCTATCCTGCAGTGTGCGAGTTCCTACAGACCAACAACCTGCTGTCCATTATCAGAGCGCACGAAGCCCAAGATGCTGGGTGAGTAGAGTTCAAAGTGGAAAAACACTCAATGCATTAATTTGACATCTTATTAAAAGATAAAAACATGTCTCACATTGGTTTGGTGAAGCTTTGACCTGCTGAGATAAACTTTTAGAGCATTTTCTCTAAAAGTTTTCTCTAACCTCCGTGCCCTGATTAGTTATCTGATGTGAAAGGACATCTTGATATGTTTGTGAGACCTTCTGTTGGGGAAAACAAGCTTTTACTGATTTATAACATAGAAAAAAGTGATTTAAACTTGATGTTTAAAAACCTTTGGCATCTTTTGCTAATGGTTTGCGCTATGAGTGCTGTGGCATTTGGAAAATGATGCACTCCTCACCTAAAATTAGTTTTTCGGAAGAAATTTAAATAGTTCAGGTTTGTGAAATAAACATTTACACCATAAGAACTACACAATTCAACGTTTCATGGTTAAGTGATTGTCCAAATTTTTAAAGCATGTAAGTCAAGCTTTTTATCAGAGCTGACCCTGGTTTCTGTACATCAGTTTCTGGTGCAATTATGGCAACCAAAGAGGGGGCTTCATTAGTGGCAGCAAGTGAGCTTGAGAGAGAAACCCTCACATATTTTGACTGACAGACACAACATTTCACTGCATGTTAGAGGTATGAGTCACTTAAAAAAATACATGTCCGAAAAGTTCAGAGAAGAAATCATAAATTAGGAGAGTATTACAAAAAATGCCTTGAATGTTTCTGGAGATGTAGCTGAAGGCAGAATTTGCAGGTTAATTGTTAAAGAACTGGTGTTTACACCACCTGCTGGTAGGAAAAGGAACATAGTAATGGTTGTAATCAAATTGCTGAGAAGTCAGGCTGTTAAAGAGCCTTCATTATTCTGCCACTACGGACCAAAGTCAGCTATGTACAGGTATGAAGATTTTAGTTGTAGTATTCGTTAAAGTGGGGGCTGCTCAGTGGCGCAGTGGGTAGCACTGCCACCTTGCAGCAAGATAGTTCCAGGTCCGATTCCTGGCCTGGGGTCTTACTGCATGGAGGTTGCATGTTCTCCCTGAGCATGCATGGGTTATCTCCAGGTACTCCGGCTTCCTCCAACAGTACAAAAACATGACTGTTTTTGGCTCTGTTTTGCCCTCTGATGAACTGGCAACCTGTCCAGGGTGTACCCCGCCTCTCGCCCATTGACAGCTGGAGATAGGCACCAGCACCCCTCGCGACCCTGCATGGGATAAGCGTGATGGGAAAAGTATGGATGGATAGTCGTTAAAGTGGGTATTTTGGGTTTAATTTAGAGAAAGCACTTATATCTAAGGTTGTGGCGAGTGGCGGCCTAGTGGTTAGGGCATAGAGCTTGTAATCCTGAGGTTCTGAATTCGAGCCCCACTCCCACAGACTGCCACTCGAGGTCCCTGAGCAAGACCCTTAACCTCCACACTGCTCCCCTGGTGCCCCATGATGAAATCTGTCAATGCTGAAATTTTCCAAGCTGAGGATCGATGGCATGTCTGGAGCATAAAGAAGCACAACCTAAGAAAAAAAAAAAAAACAGCAGTTGCTGCATAGTTTAGTTTTGCTTCTTCTTGCCCTGGAAACCTGCTGCACTGGGAGGACATCATGGATTCAGTCATATATCACAAAGTCCTGGGACAAAATGTGAAGACAGCTGAAGCTTCAAATGAGTAGACAGTGATCCCAAACAAACCTCAGATTCCATTAAAGCTCTTTTTCAGAGGAACTACTGTACTTGACATTAACTCTTAACACTGTCAGAAGTAGATGAGTGGCTATGAATCATGTTTACAGCAACTCATAGCAGCAAAAAGCAGTGACGTTTCTTTTATTAAAGGGGCTTTGAATATTTTAGTTGTAGTAGTCATTAAAGGGAACTGTTTGGTTTTAATTAAGAGAAAGCCCTTCTAGTTAAAGTTGTGCTATTATATACACTGGAAAAAAATCAAAATCTAAATAAGTAATTTCTTCTTAAAATAAGTGCATCTGTTCTTGAATTTAGGAGGTAAGTGAGACACTTTGCCAATAGTTTAAGACAATTTACATTTAAAATAAGAAAACATAATTGCATTGTCTTATTTCAAGCGCACACTATCTAATTATCTTAGTTTAAGAGTGAAAATACTTATTCCATTGGTAAATCATCTTATTTACCTACGAAAACTAAGGGTAATTACACTTAATTTAAGAAAGGTTGACTTAATTCTAAATTGTTTTTGCCTATGTAATGATCTGTTCTTTGCAAACAGCTGCTAGTTGGTATATTTTGACCATTTACTTATAATTTGTGGGAGTTTCAAATATTTTAGATGCACCTGCAGCGTTACCACCAAACATGCAATATTGCTGCAGTTCGTCCAGCTTCCCTGGTATTGCCTGATGCACATTCTCTAAGGTGACCTTTAAAGGAGTCATAACCTGGTATTTTTCACATGCAATCCTTATTAAATTGCAATTAAATTCGTTAGTATCAGAAAAAAATTGAAATGCATTAAGGTTCATTGTAGCATAACATAAACATGCGCGGCTCAGGTATAGATAATCAAACAAGAGCTAATGCAGTAAGACATGACAGCGCTTATTTTTATATGTTCACTTTTTTTGGCGGGTTACACAAACTTTTAAGCATAAACATAAACCTACTTTAAATCTAAATTAGGTAACTAACCTGCCATTGGTGGTACAGGTATAGATACACGGTTCCTGTATTTAATGCTGCCTGTATGCACACATTTTCATTGCGACTAAGCTATTATATTCCCAAACACTGAGGTCTTTGCTTTGCTTTTTCTCCTCCCTCGTGACAGATTGTTTTGTTGTTTTTTTTCACTGTCTACCTGTCTCACTTTGAGCCAGTCCCCGTCTGGTTTCAAAGACCTCTGAAGCCACCCCTTCAGCTTTCAGCTGCAGCTTGGTGTCTCATCTGAATAGCTGTAACGTGGGCGGCTTGTTTGTCTCTCTCCATGCAGATACCGCATGTACAGGAAGAGTCAGACTACAGGCTTCCCCTCCCTCATCACCATCTTCTCTGCTCCCAACTACCTGGATGTCTACAACAACAAAGGTTTGTTGCATAAGTATACACAAGCACGTCTACACTGCTTTGTAAATATATTCCAATTCCTTCAAATGTTTACATTGTCACTAAAATAACACAACAAACTTGGAGATATTTTATTTGGATTTGTTTAATAGACACAGGTAGGGTAGGAAAATAATTTAAGGAAACAAGATAAAAGATGTCATGTATTTATTTCCATGTCATTGTGCCAACACTTCCTTCAGCCATGTTTTTAATGCAAGTCTGTTTGGAGAATGCTTCCAGCAGCTTTGCAAATGTAGAGACTCAAATAGTTTCCTGTTGTAATTTAGAAAATAGATGAAGCTGAGTCATATCAGATGGAAAATAACTGTATTTCTAACTGGATCTGAGTTTTAGTCACTTATTCAAATATTTAGTCCCACTGGAACATGAACCTCTGCCTCAATTCTGATTATTATCTGTCCTTGATCAACTTTAGTTTAGACATACCCATCATCATACCATCAATTCTCACCAGCTTCTTAATCAGTGCTGAAAGGAACATTTCTCTGCAGCATGATGCTGCCACCACTGTGTCTAACTGTAGGGAAGCGATGATTGTAGGAATAGAAAATACTGATACTTGTGTGAAAATGTGATGAGTAGAAGTCAGAAATAGGAAGAAAAATAAGTAATGAAATAAATTATAGATACTTAAAAAGTGTACCTAAGTACAGTAACAAAGTATTTGTACTTCCTTACTTGAGACCTCAGAAACAGTTTTTTGCATTAGTTTGTGAAATGAAACATGTTACAGTTTTTGATTTCAAAAATGAAAAAAAATACACACATTTGAAATCAGTGTTTAGCCCCATGAACAAAGCAACTGAATTAAAACCTGTGTGCCTGTGTGTGTCTGTGTGTGTGTGTGTGTGTGTGTGTGTGTGTGTGTGTGTCTGTGTGTGTGTGTGTGTGTGTGTAGCGGCGGTGTTAAAGTATGAGAACAATGTGATGAACATCCGTCAGTTCAACTGCTCTCCGCATCCCTACTGGCTGCCTAACTTCATGGACGTCTTCACGTGGTCGCTGCCCTTCGTAGGAGAAAAAGGTACCGCACATAAACAGTGCATGGTCCCTATATCCAGCATGCAGCATTTCTGATATACTTTTATTTTCTGGAATGGCTGCATTTAGAGGAAACTGTTGCTGAAATCCGTAAAGTTATGCATCAGATCTTGAAAATGTTTCAGCACCATGATTTAATTGCTAGCTTTAGCAGCAGCAGCTTGAGGAAGTTGCTTTAAGGTCCCACAGTGGCATTTTTTTACTTTTCCACTCTTTGGTTTGCATTCAACATATTAACTTTTAAGCATTCTGTTGTAGATGCAAATTGTAGA